CAACCCTGAGCCGGCTACCTGGGATTGAACCCCGGGTCGTGCAATATAACAGTTTAACCACGGCTCCATTATACCCAATTTTTAAAAGGTTTTCCTGCGGGAAAGGGCACAAACAGGCTCCGGCTGCGAGAAGCCGTTAAAAACAACAACAACAACCCAGGCAGGCTTTGAATTTAAAGCCTGCCAATCTCCATGGCACTGGTTTAAAAAAAAAAGAGAGAGAGAGAGCGTGTTGGGGAAACGTGGAAATTTCTCTCACCCCGGCCTTGTTGGGATGTTTTACTCATCCGTGCGCCACCATCTATCTTCCCAGTTTTATTAGCTCCTGACAGCAAAACCTGCGGCTCCCATAAAAGTCAATAAAGCAGGGATAAAATACCCCAGAGGTACTAATCTGTGGGTTGGGGGGGGAGGAGGGAGGAATTTAAAATATCGGCCTGGGGTTCTCGAGGAAGGCGTGAATCGAGGCTGGTTCGGGATGGAACGGAGAGGGTTAGAGAGGTTTTCCTGGGGATAGAAGGATCGTGGATCAACCCGATCCGGTTCTCTGTCTCCCGTCACTGAGGGTAGAAACAGGAATATGAAGAATCATATTCAAGAATTAGAGGGGAAAGCTGGCATTTTTTCCGAGTGGGGGCATCACGGGGACACCTAGAGGCTCATACATGGTCCCCAAGTGGGCCGGATTCAGCCCTGATTCCAGATCATGCTAAGATTGGTCATTGCTGACATAGGGGGTGATTCTGGGTTCTTCCATCTTGCAAAGCAGACGGTGGCGATCTGTGTGAACGCTCCCCCCCCCTCCCTGCAGGGAGGATCCCTTCCGGTGCATGGGATCACTGGACGATCGAGAGCAACCCTTCCTCTTTCCGTTTCCCAGAGAGTGAAGAGGGTTACTTATTAAGCCGCTTCACGGCGCCGGAAGGAGCCGTATCTATGCGGATGGTCCGACTCGATGAGATAGTTTTAATCGAATCCGGCCATTCCCAGGAAGCCCACACTAAATTCTCTCCCTCATGCTAGCGTAGCCGTACCCTGAGTTCGGACTGGATACCGGGGACAAAAACTTGCTGTTTGCTTGAATAAACCCCGACTCCTCTGGAAGCCACCAGCTTTCGAGGGGGCGATCAAAATATTGTTGTGGTGCTACGGCATGCATTCAGTCTAACCACAGTGTGGGGAAGGAAAAAATTTGTAGCCTTCAGAATACATGGATTCACAAAGTGCGCCTATCCAGAGTAGCTGAAGATCAGGGATCAGTCGTCATTGCTGATTGTAGCAACTCAATGGAACCTCAGCGTCCAGGAGCAAGCTACCTGCAGATGTTCTCCGGAAGGGACATTCATTGCTTTGATTTGCCTCCGCTGGTGGGATCGGGCTCATCCCTGTTGGGCACACAATGCCGAGGTGAAGTAAGAGGGACCTGTTTATTAGATACTTCTTACTCACCTCTCAAAACACACCTTCAGGGGCAGTCCATCCCTAAATATAAGACACCAGGGGACAACACACAAAGAACGGCCATCACATGTGTGCGCTGGAAGTGTGTTTCTAACTTCCCAAAGTCAGATCTTCTGGTGTACTCCAAACCCCATCATCCTCAGCCAGCACAGACAGACATGATGGGAATTGTACTCCAAGAGCGCCTAAGAATGGGGTGTTCAACAAAGGTTAAGTGGGGAATCTGATGAGTGGGTTCCTCCTTTCCCTTCACTTTAGGGGTGATCTTTCCTTACCACCCTCGCCTGGGGCGTTACAGCCTGAATTTCCATGAGGCCCAGAAAGCATGTTTAGAGCAAGACGGGATTCTGGCTTCGTACGACCAGTTGCACGAGGCCTGGCTGGACGGAATGGACTGGTGCAACGCCGGCTGGCTGGACGACGGATCAGTCCAGTACCCCATCTCGAAACCGCGGGACGAGTGTGGGCGCAAGGAGACGGCCGTCGGGGTGAGGAACTACGGCTACCGGCAGAAAGAGGAGGAGCGCTATGATGCCTTTTGCTTCACATCAAACCTGAACGGTAAGCCCCGGAAGTGCGGACCTGGGAGGATGATGATGTATTGGCTGGGAAAGTTAGGGTCCACGGGGGCGGAGGGTCCGTGCCGAGTTTTAACCCAAACATTCTGTCAACGTTGAAGGCGCTGAACTTAATTGGGTAAGAGTTTTTCCCCTGGAATATTCGACATCTTTTGATAAGTTTGGATGAAAACCTGGAACGGACCGAGGTCATCGCACAGTGCTTTTCCGAGCACTGTCGGTTGTGGTGTTCCTGGATTTTCACACCTCATCTCTTCACACCCCAGGCAGGGCATAATAAGTGTAGACACTTATTATGCCCTGCCTGAATCCGCCCGCTTCGTCGCCAGCACAGTCTGAACGGGGATGGCAAGCAATATTTCAGCCACCGCCAGTCAAAGTGTCTGAACCATTAGCATGGCAATTAGAAGGAGACTAATTAGCCCTGTAATTCTGCCCGGTTCCGAAACGAACATAAAAAACCTCCTCCTTCTCTCAGATTGAAATCCACTTCTCCGAACTAACTATGGGAGACCCACTGAATCCATGGGGCTTACCCCGAACTTAGAAAGTCCCAATGTTCAAACCAAGTTGACCAACAACTGATTGTAAAAGGGGTATGTGTTTTTATTTTGTAGAATCATAGAGTCTGAAGGACCCTCTAAGGCCGTCAAGTCCAGCCCCTGCTCAGTGCCGGATTCCAATCTGAATTAATTGTGTTAATTCATTCCAATTTGAATAAATTGGAATGAATTAATTCAAACTTATTTAATACAAATCCCTTCCTTTTTCCTAATATCAGGACCTAAGGTGCATAGGAAAGGTTTTTTAAAAAAACAAGCCAGCTAAAGATGCCACAATTGTAATATTAAAAATCTAATTACCTGCCTTCTCATGGTCAAACACACCCCGAGTTAGACCCATTTCAGAGTACACCAGAGTGGCTCCAATGGAAAGTCCAGCAATATAGGTGAAAAGCCCCCAAAGCGAGAAACTTTTTTGGGGGGGAATCTAGGAATCAGATCATATGCTGAAGGAGAGAAGTTATTGCCTGCTCTCTTGAGGTTTTCCCTCCAGACAAGTAAACCTTTCAGTGCTATGTGCCCGAGCCATTGGTTACCACCAGATAATTTGGAAAAGGAGAAAAGACCTCATACATAAAAGCAAATGAAAATGTGGCAAGGCAATCTCAGGCACTTTTAAAGGTCCTAAATGAGTTTGAGATTTGAAGAGAAGCATCGAAGTTTGGCCAAGGATGGGGAAGAAATCCATCCGCTGAGATTTGGATGGCAAGAGAAAAATTTCTGGGGCTAGATCTAATAGTCCTCAACCCGATCTGAGGCAGTTCCTAAAAGCACGGGCCTTTTAAGGGGGAGGGAGGGAAGCAAAGCCGTAATTGAAGTTGGAGGTGACAGAGATGATGGATGATCCCACTGGGTTTGGTCCCGAGGTGTAAATTACTCTTTGCTTAGCGGGCTGCGGGGAGGCCCTTCGTTTGTCTAATCGGGGGCAGGATAAATAGCGACAGATCAACTTGGAAATGGAGTGCCTCTTGTGGCCTCATCCATTTCTCTGCTCAGGAGATGCGCTAATTTCCCAGCGTGTCGGCTGCGGCAAAGGAGGGAGGCGGGAGACGAACAGGGCGAAATGTTTCCCGTAAGACACCGCCAGACGTTAGGATATAACAGATAACGTCCCAGGGATCATACTCTCTGAATAAGAATTTTCACGTCAAATACTAATGGGGGGGGGGAACCGGGTGGACGATGACACTGGATCCTTTCCGGGTTTTGCTCCGAACTCTCAGCGAGGTGCCAATAGTGCCTGTTTGGTGGTGGTTGGAAGTGGTCCAGCAACATGGATAGCTACTGTGTAAAATCACTCCCTTTCCTTCACTCAAGGGGCCATGAGTGAGAAAAACGATACGGGTGTTTTGAACCCCTAAGTCCTCCCCACCCCAGAAAAAGGGGGCATTGAAATCCTTCCCAGTTATTCAATTCCACCATCAAACAGGGAAACGGGGCAGCAATCCCTGGGGTTCATAGGAGGGGAAAGAAATCACTGGTCTGCCATATACAGCCGTTTTGGTGCCCACTTTGCTCAGAGGCTCGGAAAGGGCAGCAGGCCTGGCGGACACTTTTAAAGAGGAGATGGTTTTTTTGTTTTTTCTTTGGTGGGGCTTGGGTTAGGTGATAGACCGGACTGGGGGAGACGGGATCCTGGATCGTAACGGCCTTGTCTCTCCCTTTCTCCTTTTCCGTGGCCTTCCAGGGAAGGTCTACTTCCTCAAAACCTACCGCAAACTGAGCTTTCCAGAGGCCGTCCACGCGTGTCAGGGGAACGGGGCCACCGTGGCCAAAGTGGGCCAACTCTATGCAGCCTGGAAGATCCAGCTGTTGGACAGGTGCGAAGCCGGCTGGGTGAGCGACGGGAGCATCCGGTACCCCATCGTCAACCCCCGGGCCCGTTGTGGGGGCCGCGAGCCGGGGGTCCGCAATTTAGGCTTCCCGGATAAAAAATACAAGCTTTTCGGGGTCTATTGCTACAAGGAATCCAACGGCGGCGGCACGGCCAAGAAGGGGACGCGGAAGTGGAAAGCTCGGCAGGCGTAACCGTTGATGAGGGAAGTGCCGGATTCGAATCCCTCCACTTCCTCCTCTTCCTCCTCCTCCTCTCTCCCATCCTCCAACGACAGGTAAGGGCTTCTCCCTCTCTTCAGCCTCTCCTTTGGGACAAGCAGCGCCCACACCTTTTTCCAGAAGAGTCTGGTTGTGTGACCAAGGAGAGAAGGACCATATTGGACTCGATGAACTTCGCTCTGAACATCTGGACCGCCAGGACGTCTGGGCTGCCGTCCGGCCTGTATCTGGAGCTGCAAGTCTCCTAAATACCTGTTTTCTGCTCTTCCTCTTCCTCCTCCTCCTCGTTCTTATTGTATTCTTGGGCTCCTCTTTCTCCTCTTCCTCCTCCTTTTCTCCTGTTTCTCCTCCTTCTTGTGTTTTTCTCCTCAAGTTTCTCCTTCTCCTCCAATTTGAATTCCTCTCTTGCTCCTTTCTCTTCTTCCTCCACCTTCTCCCCTTCCAGCTCCTTCTCTCTCTTCTTCCCCGGTTCCTCCATCCCCTCCTCCTCTAGTTTGTCTTCTCCTTCTTCTGCATTCTCCTCTCGTTCCTCTTGCTCCTCCTCTCCTCCTATTTCACGTTCTCCTCATTCTTTTCTTATTCTCTACGTTCTCCTTTCTTCCTTATTTCTCCTTCTCTTCCTCCTGTTTCTCCTCTTCCTCCTCTAGGTTGTCTTCTCCTTCTTCGGCTTCTCCTCTCGTTCCTCCTCCTTCTGCTTCTTCTCTTCTCTTCTCCTCTCTCTTCCCCCTGTCCTTCCTCTCTCACTTCCCTTCTTTCTCCCACCTTCTCTTCTTCCTCTCTTTTTTGGGTGCTTTCCTCAGCTTCTTCTTTTTTTCCTGCTGCAGGAAGAGTAAAGCCCCCCCACCCCCCGATTTTTCGCCACCCTCTGCTTAGGCTTGAGGTTGCCTCGTGTCGCACAAAAAAGGAAGGCCAGGGTGGGGTGGGATGATGGGTTTCCAGGCCTACTGCTGCAGATCTGCCAGGGATCTGGGATGGAGGTCTATAAAGGAGAAAGGCTGTTTTTTTTTTAAATGCATGAATTGAGGGTAAAATCAGCCCGAGAACCAGCTGGAGAAGCAAATAAGGGGTAAGGGGGTGCCCTGCCCTCACCTGCTCCTGCAGAGACGCTCCCCACACCCTTCTCTCCGCCTTCCGACAAACTCCAGCCGACCAAGAACATGTATTGCACTCGCCCAGAGAAGAACAGCAGAGAGCCAGCAGACTTGAAAAAGACCAGGGATGTTTTCCTTCACACGTGCAGTTTGCTGGACAGAACGGAACTGTATTCTCTTTGGGGCAGAGTCATGCCTTTTAGCTAACCATGGAATGATCTGTAGCCTGTTGTGAGCATGAATGGCCTTGCATCTCGTATTAATAAAAAGTGTGTGTCTGTGTGTGGATTCCTGGTGGGGGATGGTTTTTCGTGACCAAAAGAACTTCTATCCATTGTCAGCTTCCTTCCTTCCTTTTATCCTTCATCTTCCTTCCTTCCTTCCATTCATCATCAGTTTCCTTCCTTCCTTCCTTCCTTCCTTCCAACTTACAAGTGATGATGTCACTCCAATTCACAACCGAATTCCTGCTTTAACCCCTAACCCTTCCACCTTTTTAGCCTCATCTTCTAGCCAGAGTTGGCAGGCACTGGCTGGAGATCACCCAACCCACCCAAATTCGTGTTTAAAGCAGGCACAAAAAGCGTTCCTGTCGTGAGACGTCTTTCTGGCACAGAGAAACCCTGTGCCCGGTTTTTGTCAATCCACATTAGCATCCGGGGACGATCCGGCCAGCTGCCTCTCTTCTTCTGAGCTGACTCCTCTCACTCCTCTCGAGAAGGTGCAGGCAGAAGAAGGGCCTGCGGAGAGGGACAACCTCTGAGCCGACTCCTCTTGAGAAGGTGCAGGCAGTCAGCCAAGCCAGTGTAGGATCGGGAAGCAGCCCTGGTATCCTCTTAATATTCGTTTGTGGAACTCATAACGAGGACCGGAAGGGCAGAGCCCAGGAGCGTGGTGACACCCTTGGGGATCTTAAATGACTCTGCTAGGTGGCTTCCCACTTTTCCCCACGTCCTCTGGTTGCCCCCTTTTCTGGATCTCCCCACTGCAGGAGAGGTGGGTGGTCCCGCTTTTGTGGCAACCAGAAGTTCATTCCGGCTTTTGGTCTGAACATCCCGGAGTGCATTCTCCAGCAGGCCGACTCCTTGCCCCCACCCCCAAAACAGGGAAATCCTGTCCCACAGATACAAAGTTCAGATCGAAACCCAGAATGGATTCAGAACAGCTCCACTGGGCTCAGGGGTCAGCACCTTGGGCCCATCAGATTTCCCCTCACACAATTGTAGGCCGTGATGGGCCATGGCTGGCCCGTCCTCCCCACTGCAGAAGAAGGGCCTGCGGAGAGGGACAACACTGGCCTCCCTCATTAAAAGCTTCATTTAAATGGTAATTAGGTGCGTTTTCATCTGGGCCTCGCAGGGGTGTGTGTGTGTGATGGACGCTAATTGCCTGGCGCAACTCACGCCAAGGGGCACTGTCTGGCATCTCAAATCAGTTGTGTTTTGTGGTGTCCCCCGGCGGCTCTGCAGGCCTCCTCGAGGAAGGAGTGAAGGGAGAAATCAAGAGAGGGGAGTCTTATCAAGTTGTTAAAAAACTTTTTATTAAAATGCCCAGCAGTAGAGAAACCTCCAAGGGTTCCCTGGCCCTCCTCCCGCCTCCCTCCCCCCCTTTTTCGGAAACATCGTCAGGGGTAGATTTTTGGGGGGGGACGTAGATCACGACTGCACACACCAGGGGTGTTGACACAGCACGAGACCAGAAAGGGGTCGCCTCGCACACAATGTACTCACTCTCTCGGGCACCTGGGTCTCCTCAAAACCCCATTTTCTGATGTGACTTTCCCCCCATCCTTCCTCTCCCCCAGCCCCCTGCTTTCTGTGCCTTGCAGAGTAAAATCTGGTGTTTTGCACGCATGTTCACCAGGCTGGGCGTTCACCAGGAGAACCATTTCACCCTGGTGAAAAGACGTTTGCTGAGGGATGCTGCCTTTCACCGACCCTCTTTTGAAAGCTTAAAAGGACCCGTCGGAAGCAATAAAGAGATTTCTGGGTTTCGGCGGAGCCCGACGACCTCAGCCTTTCATGGGGGAAGTCTCTGCTTTGGGTTTTGACTTGAACTTGAGAGGAACGATTTCATAGTTTGATTGAGAAATGGAGAGGAGCTCTCCAGGGTGCTGAAGGGCTCTGGGTTAGTCCAGTGCACTTGTGTGTACTAAATCTCCCTCTGGATCAGGTTACAAGACGGAGTGGCTCATAGGCTGAGGAAGGTGTCTGTTTTCGGGTTTTCCTGCCCCTTTCTTTTCATTTTATTTAGTTTGGGACTCAAGCAGTTGCTTTTCCAAATTCTCCATCGGCATGATGGGTGTAATGGTGTCCTAGGGTGGTTGTGGCCAGACCCCAAAGTGGGTGGAATCACAAACAGGGACTCTGCTCATGAGGACTACCAACTCCTTCCTTCTTTTTAACACGTGAATGACGGTTCCCAGGTTTTGCCCGAATATACCTGTGGGAGACCTAGATCTGGTGGTTAAAAAAAATTACCCAGGGCATGTCAAAAGTGCTCAGTCTTCCCACGCATGCAGAAGGGAGGCTACGCTGCCAGCACATGGGAGCCACTTCTTCTCCTTAATGAGGGACAGACAGGATCCAAATAGATTTTTTTCCCCCTGATAGCATGATTTGTGGAAGGGTGGGGAGCAACGGAGGAAGGCGGCTCTGGAGGTCAGAGGGAACAGCCCGATCCGCTCTAGGTTTTGTTCCGAACTTTAAAAGGAAGGGCACCCACAGGCGTTGACTCCCTGTTGGACAGGAAATGTTTGCCACCTCCCCTCCGCCGGATTATTCTAGGGTGGATTCGGACTGAAACTCGGAGCGAATCGGCCGCCGCCGCGAGAGAGCGAGAGAAGGCATCAACAGTTTCCCATCACACACGCCAATCAATTACATCCAGGGAGGGGCTGGGAGGCTGGGGGAGGAACGGGTGGGGGGGGAAAGATGGTGGGGAAGGAAGAGCTTGTGCTTTTCTCTGGGTAGGTCGTTAAAAGTAATTGCCGTCTTCCTCCGTCCACTCCGGCTTCGGGTGCTGCCGCTGGTGTTTCCGCCGGTCCTTCCGCGATTTGTGGCGGTGGTGTTGGTGGTGCTGATGGCGGCGTCGGTGGTGCCGCCGGGTTCTGTGCGACCGTCTGGCTGGAAGGAGGCAAAAGGGGGAGGTGCCAGTGAACCGAGGGTTACGCTCGGAAAAGACGCCTTCTGCTCAAAAAGGTGCGGGAAGTTGCTGCTTTGGACTACAAATCCCATCACCACCCCCCCCAGATTACCAGTCCTATAATCCCCTACCCGGCTGATCTGCAAATGTTTCGAATATCTGCAATGGCATGGAAATGTTAATGGCAACTCATCGGTTCTCATAGTTTTTGACTTCATCCGGAGCGGGTGTTTGGTCAAGCTAACGGCTCTTGATTGCCTGCTTGAGCTCAAGCCAGCTCAAATCCTTTGCATTCCACAAGGGAACTGGGAAAATTCAATACAGCCCAGTGTTGGGAAAAGAGGGAACCCAAGGAGAAGTAGGGGTGTTAGTGGTCTGCTGGTCATTTCCCCAGCCAGGTAACAAACCCCGCTAGAGTATTTTATTTGAAGACGTTTGTGGCTCACTGGGGTTGTGAATCCGCTCCGGGTGTCATTCAGAACATTACAGGAGCAACCCCTGCGGAGTTGAGTCAGTCCTTCCTGCAAAGTTCAGAAGAAGACTTTCTATGGATTCACTGCCTCTCCTTTGAGGTTGGCACTGGCAACTGACACCAAACGCATCCTTCAAAGTTCGGACCAAAACCCCATACGGATGGAGGCTGGCCTCTGCAGCTGGCAACCCCTGACTCCCCTGACTCTGCGGATGGCCTTCGCTATTGCTTAAATCAGTATAAAATGAATTGTCGGTGGGCGTCACATACACATCGGCTGGGCGACTCACATTTTGTGCAGAGGATTCGGGGCCGGTCCCACGTTCCGTTGACGTGGCACTTGATGGTGGGCAAGTGCCGTTGCAGGAAGCCTTCCTCGCACTGGTAGCGGACGGTTGCGTGGATGCTGTATTTCTCTCTCTTTTTGCCAATGGGGAAGGCGTTTTCCACCGAGGGAGGAGGCCCGCACAGTACTGTAGGAGAAGAGAGGGAAGAAATAGGCCTGGAAGCTTAAAAAAAATCAAGTCTCACCCACGTCTGCTGGTTTTTGTCCCTAGCTGTCAGACCTTTGAGGTTTGCAGGCTGGGCTCGGGTTGGCAGCTCAGAAACATGTGGTTTAGGGTCAGATTCTGATTTGCAGCTCAAAAAGCTGGCACGGGGAGCCTGGCTGCAGTTTGCAGCTCAGAACTGAGCTCCATTTGACAGCACAGAAGGTTTTGCATGGAAACGGGTTCTGGTTTGCAACTCAGAACGTCTTTTGAGTCGAGGCAGGCTCTGGTTTGCAGCTCGGAAAACATTTACATAGAGCCAAGTTCTGGTTTGCAGCTCAGAACGTTTTGCATGGAACCGGCCTCTGTTTTGCAGCTCAGAAGAATCTTTGAATCGAACCAAGCTCAGGCTGACAGCCCAGACAATCTTGATATAGAGCCGAGTTCCAGTTTGCAACTCAGATAATCTTTACATAGAGCCGAGTTCCAGTTTGCAGCTCAGAGAGACTTCCCACAGAGATGGACTCTGGTTTACAGTCACCCAAGTCTTTGCATGGAGCTGGGGGCCTGGTTTGCCGACATCAAACCTGCTTCACACATGCCACAAAGTGGAAGGGGAAAGGTTTCCCTCCTTGCTCTTCCTTCTTGCTGTTCTCTGTGTTTAAAAAAAACCTGAGGATATACCCGTGAAATCACAGCGGGATATTTTTTTTGAGGTAGGGGGGGCTCCCCTCGGCGCTTTCTTGTTTAAACAACACCTCCTCCGCCCAGCATCATAAAATACCGCACACTGTTTCATGGCTTTTTTCAAATCTCATCTCTGCAACGTGGCCAGTTTGTGGAACCGAGACGCTCTAAGGCCTGGGGAGAGGAGGGGAGGGAGAGCGGGGATTTACATTTTTAATTAACAGCTTTTATTAAGCTGATTGTGAGCCTCCCCCAAACTGGAAGTTGTATTTTTGATGTTTTTACTCCTCCCCGGGATTGTTGTGAACAGTTGGAAGCTAATGTGACTTTCCAGATAAGAAAGGGTTGCCTCTTTTAAAGCAAATTAACAGGAGGAAACGGGGGTCTTTGTAAATATGCCCATTTTCACACCCACGGGCTGAACAGGTATTAAGAAAGCATCTGCATACTCAAAGCGCAAAGCTTTGCAGGTGCTGCTCGCCTAGGGCGAAGCTGAACCGAGCCTTAGGCGAGCCATGGCGTGGTCTGTGTTGCACCAAAGATCACTGTTAATCTCAACGGGCAAGAAATTCACGACTTCTCCAACCCATCCGAGGTCAGCCGGTTGGAGCCGCTCTCGTCTTTCCAACTAGCCAAGCTGGCTGGCGGGTTTTGCGCTTATCTGCCACCTGACAATGGGCTACCATTCATGAAACTTTTTTTACAGTGGATATAAATACGGATAAAGTGGGAAACTGTGCCCCATTCCTGAATCCCTGCTACTGATTTCATTAGAACAAAGACTTCTTGATCACATTAGCGTGCAGGGATCATGGCTAGGAGGCCTCAGGCAGCAAGCACCATGGGGCAGTAGCAAGATTTTGAGCGGGAGCTGGACTTATATCTCCAAAGGAAACTGCGCAGGATTGGCCCGAGACGCTCTCCTGAAGCGAGAAAGTTTGAAGAACTCACATTGCTGGCTCACTCAAGGGTTATAACTTTCTCCTTAACTCTGCCCAGCAAAATATTCCCTCCCCCCCGCCCGCCTGGTTAACATCTCTTTCCTTCCGAAGATTACGTACCGGTGTCTTTTTTGCAGACGTAAGGCAGGTTGTAGTTGCACGGGACGTCATTCCACTTCCCCGTCTCGTGCGACACCAGCACCACGCAGTCTTCGCCCCCGGCAAAGAAATTATCCGGCTGATTCTCCCGCCAGTTCTCGTATTGCTAGCGAAATGGCAGAAACGGGCCAGTGAATTTCAAAACTCTGGAGGAGCTAAACTGCGTCCGGGGGGGGTACCTTTTTCTTGGCTCGGCAGCTCATAGGGCCCCGGTCCGTGGCACTGGTTTTGGTGGCATGTTAGGAGAAAGACGCCTGGGGCGAGAGCATGATTTTTTACAGGCATATTGGCCGCTCGCCTAGGGCGAAGCTGAACAGACCCCCTGGGCGAGCCACGATGTGTTCTGTGCTGTTCTGCCACGGAGCGACCCGGATTTGAGGGCAAGTGAGTCTCTCAAGCACACTCACCAGTCCGGTGTTGTCGGTCCACTGGAAATCCTGCTCCACGATGCGGTCGTTAAGCCCGATCCATGTATTCTCATGCCCAAAGCCTGTATGGGAGAGTCGTGTTAGTGGGATGCAGGCAGGATATTTTAAATTTATAATTTCTTCCCCCCATATCTCTTCCCATTTTCCCCACCACCACCACCACTCCGACTCACTCCTCCCCTCCGGGTTCTCCGTTTCCTTCTCCAAATTTATATTTCCAAGCATGCCTGAGTCACACAAAGAACAGAAGGATAGGAAGGGGTATTTGAACAGAAAAGCCGGACCCTTCACCAAAATGAAAAATCTAACAGTTAAAGCCAACTACTTCAAGTCCAAAAGTTATATTTCAACTTCAATATTTAAATGTTTATTGGAGGACTTCTGTATCCATGGGGGAGTTCAAGCCCCCCACCCCGGATGCTGGAAACAATGGATAATAGTGAACACTATACATAACATAGTAAAAGAAAAACCTAGAAAAGTATTTTCTGCATGAATTCCCAAAACTGGCGATTAGATGGTGCCAGAGACCATGCTATGTATTCTTCAGCAACAAGAATACATAAGATGGTCTCTGTTTCTCTCTGGTGGCCAGTTCTGGTAAATACCTAGTGAAAAGATGCATTTCTATTTTTTTTCTTTAATGTTTTTAATATTTTCAGGCTGCAGTTAAGTGAAACTGCGAATACCGATTCTGCAGAGACAGGGATCCCATGAATTTTTAAACTTTCTATAGTTTAAATATACTGTATAAGTCTTTATATATTTGGTGGCACATTCAGGGAAGACTTCCAGATTGGTACACTAAAGAGAGACAGAAAGGAGAAAATAGCAGCTTAAAAGACAAATGATATTAAAATAATTGTCATTTGTTCAAAATCCGTTGTTCAGGATGCCCCGTGCGCTTAATTTGAAGGCCCCGTTGACTTACTGCTGATGAAGTTATGCTCCTCCCGTGAATGGATGCTGGTCAGGTGACCTGACCGCCGGCGACAGTCTCGCTCCGCATCCTCCCACGACCGCCGGTGGGCGAAGTACCGGTAACAATGGCCTTGGAATTTATGCCAGTTGTGGTCGCAGCCTTCAGTGTCTAAAAGGAAACACATAAACAGATGCCTCGTTAAAGGTCCCCACACCTTTTACCACTCGCCTAGGGTGAAGCAGAGTGGACCCTCGGGTGAGCGGCTGCTTGACCCGCCTTGCCCCGGAGGGCAGGGCCAATACCAAGGGGTGGGAAATCGAGATGATTTCAGAAAGAATCAGAAAAATCAACACTTGACAACTGCTCAATGCTGGGACTGACAAATCACATTCTGCCACGTGATTTCTGCCAGGGGAGGGTTGAGCCAGATGACCTCTAAATATCTCCTGTTCTAATGCAATCTGCATTTTTGTGACAGTTTACAATCCTATACAAGAATCAACTGGTTGTTGGAATATAAATGATTGTTTTTTTGCTTCTATCCAGTAGGACCCCATATCCACAGGATCAGTATCTGCTGATTCATGGGTTGAAAATATTTCTATGATATAATTACCAGAATTAGCCACTAGAGGGAGCCAGGGACCATGCTTTGTGTAGCATTCACTATTAAAATAAACAATGACTCCCTCTCTGGTCAGCAAAAAGTCAAGATCTTTTCTGCCCACAAACAATTCCCCTACAAACAACACCACAACGCCAGCAACACCAAGAGTCAAAACTCTTGAGTGCCTACCGAGTGTTTCATGAATGAGCAATTATTAGAAGCCACTGATAGGTTGTTCTCATCTTTTCGGGCAATTGCCCGTCCTCCTGTGGTCCCTTTGTGTCTGGGTCTATGTGCTTTGCAGCCAAAGAGAGGAGACAGGCATTTGTAGGGGTTTCTCTAAAAGGAAAAAAAGAGACCTCCTTGTCTCACTCTCACACTGGAGGTGAAGACTCTCCTAAGACTTGAAAATTCCTGGTTGATATTTTTCTTTTGTGGGTCCCAATGGATTCTTAAACTTCCAATGGGTGAACATTTGGGTAACGCATCCATGCAAGACCTTCCCAATCCACTCTGAGGCTGTGCCAAAGAGAAAGGGCCCGATCCATTCAGCTGGCCCTCCCTTCCATCTCTTCTGGAGCAGAACTCGCTGGAGCCAACGGGGTGGGATTAACATTGGAAGGAAATAATGAGATTCTCCCTTATACCCCTTAGACCACTTTGATCTTTGGAGCACAGAATGTGCTACTGGGGGAAAGCTCAGCTCTGACACCAGAGAAGATGGTTATGTTCCTCCCACCCCCAACCCCTGGGCCTGTTTTGATTTCAGGGTGGGTGGATCAGCCTCCCTGTTAGACTGGAGCTTTGTTCCGCTTAATAGGATGCAGCAGGTGGGGGGTCCCCCATCACACTCTTTTCTCTGGGGGATTAACTAACTCCAAAGCATTGCTGGTTCCCTGCAGCCAGAGCGGGGTCCTTTGGGGACTAGATTAAGAGAATTCATTCTCTCCGGCTGCCATCAGGGAAGCTTCCCACGTCAAGCGAACTTCCTCTGGTGAGAGGCAGGAAGTAGACTTGCTCACCCCTCTCCCTCCCCCCACCCTAAGAAAGGGGCTACAGCAATACCAGCATATTTGGGGAGATGTTCATGCTAGTATACACAGTGGTGTATGCCCCTGCATCGTGCGACGAGGGTCCCAGTTCAGATCGAGTTGTCTCCAGTTGGGAAACAAGGTCAGCCACACAATTATTTCATTGTTCCCAGGGTTGCTATCTTGATGTCCATCAGTGGGGAACACCCCGCACTTTACACTCTGGGGGATCAGGACTGCCAGAGCAGGAAGGATAATGAAAGCCCTTCCCTTTCAATCTGATTTGAAAACCAACATTGGGCCTCAGAGCAGAGCCCCAGTCCTCTCTGGGGTTCCTGCCCTGCCCTGCCTTGAGACCCCACCAAAAAAATTATTCCACAACCACAAAAGCCTGCCCAGAGAGCACCCCTTCTCACCTCGTTCGCACAAGGTCCCACCATAGCTGGGCAGGCACAGGCAGATGAAAGCGTTGATCTCGTCAATACAGGTGCCTCCGTTCTGACACGGGCCGGATAAGCAGTCGTCGATATCTGCCGGGAGAGAGAAATGGAGGATCGTTTTGAGACAGCCCAGAGCAGCACACCCCCAAATCCCAAACCAAGTGGCTGTGAAGAAGCCGACCCCATGGACCCGGGATTTTCCTGACTCTGATGGTTAACAAACCAGCAACGCGGGGAATCGAACCGGTGGCTTTGTCCAAGCTGAACAGCAGCTGGACCGTGGATGCTGACATTCCCACTCGGGTGATCCAATCCTGTTTAAGGGAGGTGGGAGGAATTGCACCCGTGACGCTCAGGATCGGCCAGCGGATGCTCTTACCCTGACTCCTAGGTCCTCCCAGCGACATACAAGGTGCCCTTCATGGGTTCTAAGAAGGTAGGTCAGGTTCTAATGATGCACCACCTTCTTTATTTCCTTTATTATCCTTTATTTCTGGGCTGGTAAGGACACAGCCCCTGAGCCAGTTTCCTCCCCCACCCCAGTCAATTTCAGAGACTCCATTCGTTCATTCGTTCATTCGTTCATTCATTCATTCATTCATTCATTCATTCATTCGCCCATCCTTCCTTCCTTCCTTTCTTTGTGATAAACCACAGCTCCCTGAATATAATTTCGGTGCCTCTGGTCAGCCTGCCTAGGAAAGTCTGTAGAACAGTGCCCCCCGAAATGGATGGTTGGGTCTGAAGCCCACCAAACCATGGCCCTAACTATTTTAAAGGGATGGATGGATGGATGGATGGATGGATGGACGGACGGACAGACGGATGGACGGACGGACGGACGGATGGAAAAACAGACAGGCAGATAACCTTTAATCGGCACATTCCTGCATCATTGCTATATTGTGTGTCGGAGGTATGGCTGAGAAAGCATGGGTGAGGGGGGCGGTGGAGCTGGCGGGCAAATTATTCAGGGCTCAATGCGGGCGGAGTGCAAGACGTGAGCTGGATCCTTGGGGCTTATCTGAGCTTTGGGAAGTGTCAACCGGCTGCATCCGAAGTGGGGGATTAACAGTGTTGCAATCCAGCCATCAGATGCGGTGGCACAAGTTGGGGGGATCTGTCAGACGTGCCAAAAGGCACAACATGAGTGTAAAGTCAGGAAGAAAGTCTATCTGTGTTTTTCGGAGGACACGGAGGAGGGTCATTGTATCTGAGATTTGGGAGCACTTGGGATAAAGGGGGAAAATGGAAGCTAAAAGGAAGATTTTAAACCTTGTAAACTGGCCCCAGAATGTCAGTATAATGAAAAAGAGGAATATTTGTGACATTTAGAATGAAACTTCCCAATTTTTAAATACACAAAGTTGAACCCAAAATTAATCATTTACAACCTATTACTTTTCGGAAACTATTTGTAACACTTCCCCCCCTCTTCCCCCGGGATTCGGGCCAATCAGAGAAGGACGATACCACCCAGCTGCCTCCGATTGGGCCACTCAGTCAAGTCCATTCAGAGCGAGGTCAGTTCTCCCTGCCCTTGTTCGGAATGGGCTATCTTAGCACTGTTAACACATCCATGAAAAGTCTCTTTAAAGCCACCATCTGATCTATGTTTTCCTGAGAGTTAGCCGCATTGGATACAATGGGATTTAATTCTGAGTAAACATACATAGGATTCCATGTTGCATTAGCACTTTTCAATCTTCTTTTTAACCTTTGCTGTTGGATTCTTTTCAGAAGTTCTGAAGACTTCTCTTTCTCTCGCTCTCTCCCTCCCATTGAAAAACCTTTCTCTATTTTCATACACCATGCCTTTTTTCCAGATGGACTTATTTTGGGCCCCATTGAAGCAAGTCACTCAATATCTTGTTTCCATACAGAAGGATGACTAATATACACACTCCTAACTCCTAGCACATTTAGAGTGAGGTCTTTTTCCCTGCCCTCATTCGGAATGAGCTATCTCAGTTTCGAGAATTTTGATTTCGAGATGCACCTTGCAGACGGATTCTCCACCCATCCAGCTCCTTCTCACCTATTTCACAGTTCTCCCCTGTGAAGCCTCGTGGACAGTTACAGGTAGAGATGTTCCCGCTGGATTCACAGGTCCCTCCGTGCAAACACGGGTCATTGTCGCACGGATTGGTTTCAACTGCAAGAGAGAAAAACAAAGTGGAAGCAGTAAGACTAGGCCAAGGTTTCATCAACAGAGATTCAGTGTCCAGATCAAGAGAATCAACAGCACCACGGCTTTTTGCTGTGGTCAAACTTCATTGGAAAGCGTCTCCTGTTCTGGGCACCCCAGTCTGGGGTTAGGACAAAGTAGAACCTGTCCAGAAGAGGTGGACCAGAATGTTGAAGGGTATGGAAACCAAGACCCAAAAACGAACAGGAGAGGGATCTTAGTAGGTTTGGCCTGGACAAGAGAAGACCGAGAGACGGTTTTGCGATTCCAGAAGGTGGAATTTGAAACCATGGATTTGGATTTTAAGAAAGCAGATTCCAAACCAGCTCGAGGAAGAACTTCGTAAGGATTAGGGTTGCTCAACAATGGGACAGAGTCCCTCAGAAAGAGGCAGCCTTCTCTGGAGGTTTTAAAACAAAGGATGGATGTCCAACCTGGCAGGGAAGGTTTAGCTGATGGCTTTGCAGTGTCTTAGTGGGTTGGGCTTGCTGGCCCTTGGGGTGTGTGTGTGTGTGTGTGTGTCTCCCATCCACATCTCCCATTCTGTGATTCAGACCCCTCTCTGCTGATCTCCTCTCTCTGCATGTGTGTGTCAATATGTCCCATGTGCAAGGAATCTTGTACCCCATGGAAAACATACAGGTTGAGGGGATCCTCAACCTGTCCAAGCTGTTCATTTGGGTTTTCCTTCTCACGATCGAACTGAAGCCTCCAAAACACCTAACCCCCCTCGAAAAGTGGTGCAGTCACCCCCTTAGCTTCTAATGAAACCCAAGGACTATTCTCCTCCTCTCTGGCAAACCATGAGAGCCGGGAACCTCAGCCTATAACAATGGAAGAGAGCGGCGACAGGGGAGAAATCTACATTCAGCAGGTGAACTCTCTGCTTGGCTCCCAAGATCATTTGGTGGCTTCGTTCCCGTGGCAGTTCATTTCCTTTTAACCGGGTGTCGATTTAAATCAGCCGTTTATAATTGTAGCTTCTAATGGAACGGCGGGATCAAAGGCGGGTTGGAAATTAAGTAAGTAAATCAGGAATTGTGAGCACTGATTGATCTTCTCCTGGTGTCTGTCTCTTCTTTCTCTCTCTCTCCCCCCCCCCATACTTCTGTTGGATGCTATACAGCGGAGGCTGATTTAGAAGCCAAGAGAGGATTCCTTCCTCTTCTAATTAGCGATCTGCATCTAATTCAAAATACCGTATTCTCTGGAGAAACGGGTCAAGCATTTCCTCTGCCTCGCAAAGAGGCAGAGAGAGAGAGGGGTTGCGCTGGAGCAGGCCCGTCAACAAATCCGAGGAGGGCTATCAACTTCTGGAGTTGTGCCTGGACCACCTTCAAACACACCTTGATCTTCAGAGGGCCACTTCACAGCCGGTGAAAAACACAACAGCTGCCCCCTGATCAAAACCAATGGGCACAAGAGTGGCGGTTTCACGGCACAAAGCCAAAGATATTGTCTGGACCCTGTTGATGGACTGGCGCTCATTCCTCATGACGGGTCAGCAAAGAATCATCAGGATTTGGGGCAGAGAATGGTCTCCCCTCTTGAGTGTGACCTCGACTCTCATTGGAAAGAGTAGGTGGGATCTGATGGATAGCTCAAGGGTTTAGAGGTTGGGAGTTCGATTCCCCACTGGGTCTCCTTGACGGGGGCTGGACAGGATGACCCATGGGGTCCCTTCCGGCTCTGCCGTTCTAAGATGATTGTCATCCATGGTGGTTCTCTAATGGAGTTTCAGGCAGCTGCCTTTTCCAACCATGCATGGAGGCTAAACCTAAAGTTCTTGGAGAGACAAACACCTTTCTTTTAAATGCCTCTTGTCTTAAGTTGTTTTTTTGCCAACCGTGACAAAAAAATTATATACTATCATTCACAATCTACTGCTTTTTTGGAAACGGTTTCCATGTTTGTGTTTTGCTTCTCCACCGAGATTCTGGACTATTTGAAAATGGCGATGATGCCGCCCATCAGATTGGACCTCTTGGTTTACAAAAAGCCAAGCCCATTCGGAGTGAGGTCAGCTCTGCCTTCCCACCTTCAGAATGGGCTATGTCTGTTTGTATGACTCTAGGATTTTAAGAAAAGATTCTAGTCCTCATGGATCTGAATTATGAAAGGAACAAATATCTGGCAGGGGGGGGATCCCTTCTTCTCCTGAACTGAGATTATCTCGGCATGCCAAAACATCTCAACGGGGATGAATCCAAATCGTACATGGAGCTGGTAGTAAATGTTTGGGGTGACAGTGTATTCTCCTGCAGGGGGTCTTTACTCTGCAAATGTGAATTGCTGGATAGCTCAGTAGTTTAGGTCTCCAGCTGCAGAGCCTGTGGTTGGGTGTTCAAATCCCCAGAGGGGCTGGACTTCATGATCCATAAAGTCCCTTTCTGCTCTGAAGTTCTACAATGGTAGTGATGATGATACACTAAATTTGGCCCCTCTGATTCAAATGTTATACTTTCTAGAAGCGGGCTACTGTTTCAAAATATGCCCTAAATCAGAGGTGTCCAACCTTTCACCTTCCCTGGGCCACATTAGAAGATAAAAATTTGGTTTGGGCCTCATATAAATTTGGTTTGGGCCGCATAGGGGGGCAGCCCTAGCCATTCTCCGCAGCCCCACTCCAAGCACGCTTACCGGCAGTTGCGATCTCAGAAGAGGCTGCCAGCTTTGACTCCGGTGGCTTTATGGGTCCAGGAGGGGGTCCACCTATTGATGGGGACGGCGCAATGCAGTCACGCAGCCCCCCTCTCCCCTCCCCTCCCCTCCTTCCTTCCCTCTCCCCCCTACCGTTGTGACATGCCCCAGCCGCATTCCGGCCGCAAGCACTGGCAGTGTAACTTGAAGCTTTGGAATTTCTTTAAAAATAAAAAATTGCACTGGGCTGCATTATGAGCCGACCTGGGCCATGTGCGGCCCTTGGGCCGCAGGTTGGACAAGCCTGCCCTAAATATTCTTTACGTATCTGCAGGATGGAAAAATAGTGACGTGTGAAAACCCGCACGTCAAAACACGAGTGTTGTCAAATGCAGGAGAACAGCCATAATAGACCACGGCCTTCGAAGTCCAAGTACTGAAAATCTGAGCCGCCTGCGTAAAATGAGACCTTGACTCCCCCCCCCAAAAATGTACAGTATATACAAATCATCAAGGCGGAAAAGTCCTAGAAAAGCAAAACTATCCAAAGCTTCGGACTGATTTTGAAGAGGCTTAGAACATCCGGCTGGATAAGCTCAGGGGTGGAGGTCTCCAGCGGCGGAGCCAGAGGTGCTGAGTTCGAATCCCCCACTGGGCTTCCTGGGGGAAGAGCCAGCCCACAAGAAGGTAACGGGGAAATGACTTCTGAATACTCCCTACCTAGAAAACTCTGGAAAGGGTCTCCGTAAGTCGGAATTAACTTGACGGCCTGCAATTAACATTATTAGAAACAATGACCCCCTCCAAGGCAGAGTCTCCTGCCTGGTGATTTTTTGTGTTTGGGTGCCTCAGATTTGAGACCTTGCTTTTCTTGTGTGGATTTGCTGCTCCCCCGTGAGAAAGCTTCCCCTGCTGAATTTTAACCAGGCTGAGTTTCTTTTCTTTTTTCTTTTGCCTCAAAAAGTCCGATTTGTTCGCCCGCTCTTTCCTCAGAAGACTTCAAAAGAACACCGGCGGGGAAACTCTCTCTGCCAGAAGTGCACGCACGGCGGCTATTACTGCGCGCACGAGAGGATAATAAATATTAAATCGGAAGATGCCTCAAAGAGCTTGGAGTGGGAGAGCGGGAGAAATCAAAGGGAGTCCGGGATGTTGGTGGAATAACTAAGGATAATAAGAATAATCTTAGAACTGCAGAGCCGGAAGGAACCCGGGAGATCATCCAGTCCAGCCCTGGTCAAGAAAGTCCAGGGAGGATTCGAACTCTCAGCCTCTGGCTCCATGAGACCCACGTCACTGAGCTATCTAGCAGTGCATCATCATCTTGTTCTTGCGTATAGGCAAGTTGGAAATAACGCAGCAAAGTCAAAGTGTTGATGTTAAAAACGGTTTCTACTGCAGGAACTAGAGGCCAAGTCAACAGATGGATCAAAAGAACAGCATTGTGAACCCCACACTTTAAATGATTTAATGTGACGTTGAAAGTCACTTAAAAAGGAGAAGAAGATTACGTTCACCTCCGTGTAAGGAACATTTGTAATGCTGACGCGTTAAATCTAGTGTATTATTTCCGAGCCGCAGATAGAGGGAATTCTCGGGCTTCGGAAGAAAGTCAAAGACCACCTTTTGACTCATCAGGGTTGGTCCCGTAGGGTTGGTCCTCATCATCTACAGGTAGAGTGAGATGACCGCCTTGGACTGCAAAAGTAGGTGGGTGGCAAAAACAGACGTCAACGAGCAGCCTGGTGCACATCCCGAAAACTCATCGGTAGGAGAACCAAAGCAAAGAATTTAGTGAAAGAAGCAAGAATTCATGGAAACAAGCCACTTACCAATCAAGCTGATGTTGGCTTCCTCGTTCCACACCGGACCCTCGTCCCCTTTGATGGTGGACAGATTTCTGGTCTCTTCCCCACTCCCGCTGTCGGGCTCAAGAGGGAGAAACCCTCCCGGCGAGGTGGGAAGGTAGCTTTCCTCATCATCCACAGCTCTGACGGCTTCTCCACTTGGAAAGAGGGAAGGTGGAGAGGTTGGGAATGGAAGTAGCTGGTCTGGAGACAGTGTTGATCGACGTGGGGTTGGGTCCATCTTTGGGGAGCCCCACAGCGTTGCGTCTTTCTGCCCCTCAGTAGGGACAGGCCGGGTGGAGAGGGTACGGATGGGAGATCCAGAGCTGGCACCTTCAGAAGAGTGATGGACGGGACTTGTTTCCATCATGCTGCTGGTTTGGAGCACCAGGTGTTCCCCAGGATGATTTTGGTTGACTATGCCGGCTTCAAGGTGTCCATCTGTGCTTTCCGTGATCACCTCCCAGCCTCCTTGTTGCCCAGAAACACCCAGGGGCTCGGTCAAGGTGGAAACATCTACTGGGCTTCCTGGTGTTGTCTGGAGGCTTCCCTTGGAGGCCACCTCCCCATCTTGACTGGCGCCAGGGGTCACCCATGGCTCACCTTCCCCAGACAACAGCTGAGCCGCTGGTGAGTCAACGAAATCCAGTGTCGGAGAAAAGATGTTCTTCATGGACAGAGTGGAGGCCTCTTCCCCTCTCAGCTCAGTGAGCTCCCCCACATGCCGGCCGTCCTGATTCAAGATGGTGTCTTTTCCTCCCACGTCAAGGACCCTGATCTCCTTCTGTGGTCTGGTTGCATGGAGAATGTCTGAATCTGTTCCTTCTTGGGCAGAACCAGGCACGTTTTGTTGGGCCTCGAAATCAGGCCCCGGGAGCCCCTCGACTAAGCTCACCAGGGCATTGTGATCTTCTCGGGAGTCATCACCAACTTCCCCACTCGCTTCGTCCATGGGGCCTTCGCTCCTCTTGCTGTCCAGGGAGGAGTGTGGGATTGTCCGGATAACCTCCCCATTGCCTGAGAAGCTCTCCCCGTTGTCCCTCACCAGTGCCACCCCTGGAGGGTAGTCTCCTCGGGTGCTGGCAGCCCCGGGGCCCTCTGTAAGACCTCTTCCTGTTGTGGTGGCCATCTCTGGAGGCCACCGAAGCCCATTGGCCACGGTTGGAGAGGAAGCCTCAGGATGCCCGGAGTGGGTTTGGGTCTCCTGGTTTTCCAACCCAGAGGATGCTGGGTGTTCGTGGTCGTATCCTTCACCCTGTGTGCCTCTCCAGAAGGGTGAAGGAGATAAAAACGTGGTTTCTGGGTAGCTCCGGTGCTCAGACGCTGGTAGCTCTGAAAGAAGATGCAAGGAATTAACAATGCTGAAGTTCTCTGAGGCGTGGAACCCAAATAGGGAACTCGAGATATGAAATTTCCCTGGTTTTGAAACCCCCAAATCTTTTACCCCGGCCTTGTTCCACCTCACGGCCCCACTGCCTATGCAACCGGGTTGTCCCTTTTAAAAAAACAAAACAAGGGTGGTTCTCTCGTAAACACCATCTACCCCATCATCCACAGCTGAAGAGCAGCCTCACTAAGCCCATTGGGGGGGGGGTCTTTCCATCTCCCACCTCCCAGCCCTGGTGAGATGGGCGGGCATGGTCTCCAAATTTTTCCTCAGAAACAGTTCTAATTCCTCACGGAATGATTTTGGGGACATCTCATCATCCCCATCTCCATCATAGATTTCCCCCCACCCCAGAGGTTATTTCGGTAATCACCCCCCCCCCCCCACCCCCCCCTCTCTCTCTCTCTCACACACACACACACAAATACACACACACAGACACACAGAGTCAGCTGCATCGAGGGCCTTTGGAAAGGTTCACAACGAGGAAGCTGTTGCCACGGCAACCCCTCTGAGGATGCTCCTGGGCATCCCAAACCCTTATCAGGTGCCTACCATACAATCTTCAACATGGGAATTTTCAGGCGGTGCTGGAAAAAAACTGCCTCTATAGAAATGTACAGTATGACCAGAATGGACTTTTTTGTTTTTTACAGATTGCGTATCTCTATTTAGGCTGCATTATTGGTTTTGTGATTCACACCCCCCCAGGTGTCTGTGTGTCTGTTTTTTAAAAAAACAAAAGGCGGTGCTCTCGTTTAAGCTGGCTTGACCCCGAATCTACCCCAAAGAGGAAGAGGAAGGAACTTGGGTTGGCCCACCTGAGCAGGCTTGGCCCATGCCTGGAGTCTCCGGATTCAGAGGATTCTGCTAACTTCTAACAAGCATTATTGGCTTCCTTCTCAGGCTATCTTGAAAAGCGCACGCGTTCGGGGACCCTGAAAGAGTCTTCATTTTTTTTGGGAAGCGGGGACCTTTGGGGTTCATGGGGTTGTGGGAGAGCTTAGCCCCAAAGGACGCCAGGATGTCTCCCCCAGCCCCACTGATGACCAAGGTCGAACCCCACGGAGACCCAAAGCAGGGTTCAGTGGCTCTCCCACCCACGTCCTCTCATCAGACCCTAAAAAGATGAGGAAAATGGGGCTTTCTGTTGTTCTAAAAGAAAAAAAAGAAAAACCCAAACGAGGGTTCACTGCCTTGAGTGAACTTGGAATTAGAATAGAGGTTCCATTAGAAGAATTAAATGAAACGGAAAGAATGAAGAGAAGGGGCACCTCCAGATCCACTTACCTTTGCCATCCACTTCGTTGGAGAGAGCGTAGCTCACGCCGCCTCGGAGCGCCGCGGCCGGGCTGGGCTGGGCCTCCACCGAGGTCTCGATGAAGTTGTCCGCCATCTTGTGCCGCACCGAGGGCAAGGCGGTGCTGCCCTCGGTCTCCCCCTCAAGGCCCGGATCCTCTTCCACGATCTGCTGGAAGTAGCGTCCGTTGAGGCCCGTGTAAATGCTCCTCCGGGTGGGCTCGGGAAGGCCGGTGGGGAGCAGATCCTTGGTCGTGGCCCCGGGGGGACCACTGTGAGGTGTTGGGGTGCTGGCTACGGTGGAGGTGGAAGGTTGCCCCATAGGGAGATGAGTATAAGGAAGCTGTGGTGGGTCAGGGGATATGGATTCATGGGGGGCCAACCTATGGGTGGTCCCGGGCACCCAAGTGGGGTAGACAGGGTGGGTGACCCCCTCAGTGGATGAGAGGTCTTCAGACTCTTCCACTGAAGGTGTCACGACCACAGTTCTTGTCTCTTTGGTGGCCATCGCCTGCTCAGAATCGTGGCTCTTCGTGGGCTCCACTGACGTGTGGTCAACTGCGTGGAATGGGTCTCGCTCAACGACCAAGTCCAGGTGGGAGACACTGGGTGGTTTGGGAGACCCGTCTTGATGTCCTCCATCCCAAAGAGGCCTCTGGGGAGAAGTCGGTCCCTCCTCCCCAGTTTCCTTCCCTCTGGGAAAAGCCGTCACCAACTGCATCTGTTCGTCCTCTTCCATCAACGCCGTCCCGGCTTTCTGTAACGGCCCATAAGGTTCTTTGGCGAACTCCCTCGAATCCCCCGAAACAACGGCCTCGTCTGTTTCCTTGGGGAAAAGCTCGTTCTGCGTCAGCGAATCGGGGTCATGTTCCACCAAGAGGTTCTCCATCAGCAAATCGTGGCTTCCTTCCGTGTCCTGGTCGGTGGGCCCCCGTCCCGCCGGATCCGGGCTCTCCCCAAACGCCGAACCCAGCACCTTCTTGCTTGACTGCCAGGCTGGAAAGAAACCAAAATAAGCTTGAAACCCGTTGCTTTCACGGACAGCGCCGTGGACGAATCCCGCCGGCTGGAAAGGTTAACATGTCTCCATCTGGATAAATATTTCAGCCCCCTGAATTAAGGAATTGTCGGTGGGTTTTACGCTGGATCCTGGTGCAACAGTTGTATGAATTAGCTGTTAAAAGGAAATCTGAGACCCTCGCCTTCTGGAACATCACATCTGAAGGACAGATCTGTGATAATAATGATGGTGATCTTGAAACACAGAGTGAGAATGGATCCAGTCCAGCCCCTCCCAAGGAGGCAATGTGGTTGGAATCGAACTCTCAGCCTCTGGCCCCACAGCCAGATACCTAACCCACTAAGCTATCGAGCAGTTCTGTATTTATACTCTGTGTTTCCACTACTAGGTAACTCCTGACATGGCTTGCAATAAGGAGCAATAAGGAGGATGTGAATAATCATCTTAGAACAGCAGGGCTAGAAGGGACCCCTAAGGATGATCTAGTCCAGCCCCTCTCGAGGAAGCACAGGGGAGGATTCAAACTCCCGTCCCTTCGTTCTGCAGCTAGATACCCAAACCCCTGAGCGTGAAACCATGCACAGAGAATTCCACATCTCCTCCACTGACCCCATATCACGACACGGACCTGGGGGTTTCTTTTAAGGCCAGCGTGGTTTCCCCCCTAAATATCTTGTCCAAAGGCACACACTCGAATTATACTATATTAACGGGCGATGGTTATGGTGCAGCTATGCCGGCCTCGTACTGCGTGTTTCTCTCCTTGTGCACCCTCTTTTCGCTGTGCCACACAGATGGATAATTCGCTCTCCCCCCTTTCCATATTTCGGGGTGGTGCAATTTAACGGCAGAGCAGGCGAGCCAGCCACGGCCGGGGGGATTCATTTTTCTTCTCGTCGTAGGAAGCCAGCAGAGCGCTCGCTTGACGATGACGAGGCCCGGTGATTTATGGACCAGCTCTGTGGACCAGGGAGCAAGCACGCCACATTTTTGTCCGTTTTAATAAAACCCACTGCCTGCCCTCAGGTGCCTCTGGAGAGTGCCGACCCCTGGTTTAAGGCAAGGCCGGTGCCGAAAGGGGAAGGAACCTCATAAATCCAGATTTTCTTGCATCTCAAGATCTCTCCCTGGTGGGGATCCCAACAAATCATCCTATGCTGCGAGGCGGGCAGGTGGCAGTGTATGAAGAACTGAAAAATCACATGCCCAGCCCATCAGCAAGAAATGAACACTCCGTTCTGCCTACATTCCTAATTAAATCAAGGTCTTTCTTTCTTTCTCTCTCTCTCTTTTTTTCTTCCGAACGATGAGGACCCACAATTTTCTTTATCCCAAAAGATTTGAGGTGGACCATCCTGCCGACAGAGAACTGGTTAGAGATGAGGTCTAATGATCAGACTGCGGAGGTAAATTAAAGATTTTTCTTGCCATTATTCAGACCGTTCCTTGGCTGGCTATCCAGCACATGTGGGGAAGCGCTCGCTTAACCCACAAGGGTCCCATCCTTCCTTCCGGCTGCTGTGCCCCTAACGTGCTAATATTTTCATTTAGAAAAGCATCGGCTAGGAAGGGGAATGGCCGAGACTTGGGGGATCCGTCCAGGAATCAAGAGCCTGCGGGCCCCAAAATTATTTCCTTTTTATTTAAAGGAGGAATCCCTGTACAAACGCCCATCTTTAGGTTTAAGGCACGTCGAAATTCGGGGAACCCATCCGTGTGGGTCTGTGTTTGAAGAATGATGGAGCTGCTGGCTAGCTCAGGGCCTTAGGCATCTGGTTGCAAACCCAGAGGCTGAGAGTTCAAATCCCCCCACAGGGCCTTCTTGACAACAGGCTGGACTGGATTATCTCTAGGGTCCATTCCAGCCCTGCTGTTCTAAGAGGATGATGATAAATAGATATGGGATATTTGTATTCTTCTCCCAGGAAAGAGCAATATGAAGATCGGCACCATGGATGTAGGGGATGTTTGGACTCTTTCCCCGACAGAACTGGCCTGTGGTGCCGATCTTCATATTCATCTCCCCAGGGAGACGAATTAGATTATTCATGTCTAATTATACTATTATAGAAGTACCACCATGGAAACAAGGGCTTAGAAGGGCCAAATTCAGGGAAATGTTCATATTGTTTGAGGTCTTCAAGTCTGATTTAAAGAAAAGGAACCCAAAGGAGAAAGGAAGTCATGGACCTGGGCCATCATCCAGCTTGGCCATCATCCAGGGGACTGGAAAACAGGCACATGGGTCTGCTGGTCAAACCTTACCTTACTTAGGTAAGACTGGACTTTGGTTGACCTTCCAAAAATGGTGTCCAGTTTAACATGGAGAGAGCCGAACCCACGTATGGCATCTTCTCAGCGCATGCCAACGGAGGATCTCATTTAAAGTTCTGGCCAACACCCAGAGTGGATTCAACAACCCCGTGAAAACAGCTCTCACCCTAAAGCCTCCCTGTTTCTTGCCGGAGAGATGTAAGACAGCTCCGCATGATGCCGAAATGAACCAACCTTTGTAGCAGTAGGCGTCGAACCTGGAGCCTGGGTGGGGGAAGCCGGTCCGATTGGCATGCTGGTAGGCGGTCCGGACTCCCGGCTCATCCCCTCCGCATTTCTTCCGCGGGGTCCGGATGGGATACCGGACGCTTCCGTCGGCCAGCCAGCCAGGATCACACTGGTCAAGCCCTTCTCTCCAAGCGAGGTACAGCTGCCCAGTCGTCGCAAGCTGGGCGCCTCGACTCACGCAGTACTTCTGGGCCATTGGGAATGTCATACGTCCTGGGCTGGAGGCGTAGAACACCTTTCCTGCAAGGATGAAAAACGTCACATGCTTCAGGTGGTTTTGCTTCTTGGTAAGTAGAAATCAGTCTTCCACCCACTCATTCACACACCTACCCATCCATTCGTTGTTAGATCCATCCATCCATCCATCCACCACCCACCTACCCATTCATTAATTGTTAGATCCATCCATCCATCCATCCATCGATCCATCCATCCATCCATCCATCGATCCATCCATCCATCCATCCATCGATCCATCCATCCATCCATCCATCGATCCATCCATCCATCCATCCATCGATCCATCCATCCATCCATCCATCGATCCATCCATCCATCCATCCATCGATCCATCCATCTACCCATTCATTAATTGTTAGATCCATCCATCCATCCATCCATCGATCCATCCATCCATCCATCCATCGATCCATCCATCCATCCATCCATCGATCCATCCATCCATCCATCCATCGATCCATCCATCCATCCATCCATCGATCCATCCATCCATCCATCCATCGATCCATCCATCCATCCATCCATCGATCCATCCATCCATCCATCCATCGATCCATCCATCCATCCATCCATCGATCCATCCATCCATCCATCCATCGATCCATCCATCCATCCATCCATCGATCCATCCATCCATCCATCCATCGATCCATCCATCCATCCATCCATCGATCCATCCATCCATCCATCCATCGATCCATCCATCCATCCATCCATCGATCCATCCATCCATCCATCCATCGATCCATCCATCCATCCATCCATCGATCCATCCATCCATCCATCCATCGATCCATCCATCCATCCATCCATCGATCCATCCATCCATCCATCCATCGATCCATCCATCCATCCATCCATCGATCCATCCATCCATCCATCCATCCTTCCTTCCTTCCTTCCTTCCTACCTACCTACCTACCTACCTAATTTCTCTAATTCAATTGTTCCTGAAGCTGAGGCTCCAATCCTTTGGCCATCTCATGAGAAGAGAAGACTCCCTGGAAAAGACCCTGATGTTGGGAAAGTGTGAAGGCAAGAGGAGAA